GATATGCCAGACACAGTAACAACAAAGTCTCCAATGGAGACGTTACTGGGCCCGCTCGAGCAATTCGACGATCAACGGGAGGGCCTTTACCTTTTACCTTTACCTCCCCGACGAGGCGACTGATGACCGTCACATCTGAGCAGAACTAACGTCCAGAGGCCGCCACGTCCTTGCGAGCAGAGAACCAGGTTGCAAAACCACGTGAGTTGTGTGTCTCTTTGGGTGCCTCAGGCCAGTGCCGCTGGGCACATGCTTTTGGGCTCCCCTGGGTGGTCATAGCTCTGATGTTTCTTTCGGGGGCACTTCCTTCTCCCAGGTGGGATGTGTTCAGCCAGAGTCGGCCCCTATCTGGAAGCCGCTCTCAGAGCTGAGCCGTCATGATTCGCCACCTTTCTTAGCTCTTCCATGCCCGTAGAAGCGTGGTTAGATCTAGAATGTGCAGAAAAAACAAAATGGGACTGAAAATGCCCCCCCCCACCCCGAGACTCAGAGACTCGGTGCCTCTACCGGGACTTGTACAGTCCCTTTCCCTTCTCCATGCAGGAAGTACAGGGCTGCAACTCTGCAGACAGCGAGTCCCTGAGACTCCTGGGGTCTGGGTGGGAGCGTGGGGGGTGGGGGGCTCTGACACTTAGGACAGAGTGTGTGGGAGTGGCAGGGCTGTCCTGGCCACGTATGCATGCGGTTGTGTGTGCTGAAGTAAGTTTGGCGCTCAGGATCTCCGAGAATTGAAAGAGACTCCCGGTTCGCCTGTCCTGTCCCGGCCAGTTGGAGGAACTTCCGGAGAGCCTCAGAGTTTGCAGAGTGTCCCCTGTCTGTGCCCTCAACGTGCTCCCTGCAGGTGCTCCCTCTCCCGAGTCGTGCTTTCTCTTCTGCTTTCCCCTCTGGGTCTCCACTTGGCATTTGATTTGCAGGAAGGTGGCAGTGCTGGGCACTGGCGACTCCACCCTCCTGTTTCCTGATGCTGTCCCCTCTAGAAAGGGACAGAATGAGTGGCTCCCTGCGGTGTGAGTGGCAGGACCTTGGAGCGCCCCAGAAACCAAAGAATCCCGTGCCTTTGAGCCCCACTGGCCTCTTCCTGTGGCAGGCTCAGCCAGCAGTGCCGTTCCCTGAGCCAACCCGCCACTTGGAGAGGCGACATGCTGCCAGGGCGCCCACGCGCATCCCTGAGCGTTTCAGCCCTCGGTTCCTGTTGCCTAACACATAGGCCTCCCACTTCCCTGCCTCATGCCCGGGCTCCGGTCCGCTCTACAGCCACGGCTGTTTCCTAACCGGCCTTGCTACAGACGCCAGACAGAGGAGGCGGGAATCCTGCCCTCACTCTGAACAACTGTGGGAACCCAGGGAGAGGGTGATGAAATGGTGCAGAGCCCACCTGAAAAACGGGGACCCCTCTAGCTCAGAATGGCCTCCCTCAGTCCTGTGTCCAATACATTAAGTGTTCTGACCCCACCTCCCTGTTCGGGGTCCCCAGGCTCGGCCAATGCCGTCTGTGTTTGCTTTGGAAATCCAGCACATTGCTTCTTCCTTGATTCCAAGTCTCATGACCCTAGTTATGACAGGAACTAGAATATTTCTGTGGTGAGGTTTACAAGGAGGTCCTGATCAGATCATCAAAAGCGACTCTTTTTCTTCCTCAGGGAATAGGATTTGAGATGATGGTTGTGGGAGCCCAGTGCTGTGTGTCTGGCAATCTGTCCTTCCAGTTGGCTTCTGAGGCACGCTTGGGGATATAGCTACCTCCATCCGGGACTAGTTGGAGGGTCTCACTACACTGCACTAAGGAGCTCCCTGTGGTGCTCAGGGGAACAGATGCTGTGGGGTATCGAACCTGGGCTCCCGCATGCAAATGTGCTTCAGCCCTTTAAGCAACCTCTCCCACTCTCCTGCTGAAACTTTTCATCATACTTACCTGAAACTTGAGATTTGAAAAAAATTATTAGGTTTTGGGGCCACAGTCAGCTGTTCTCAGGGTTCCTGGCTCAGTGCTCAGGCGTGACTCCTGGTGGTGTTTGGGAGATCACAGGTGGCTCTGAGGATCGAACTCAGGTTGGCTGTGGATGAGGCAAGTTCCCTACCCTGTGTGCTACAGTTCTGGCTCTTGGCTATGTGTGACTGCAGTGAGTAAGTGCTCATCCTTGTTTTAATCCCGTTTCTGTGAAGTGCTCCTCCTGGGGAATAGAGAGCTATGAAGGACTATGGGGCTGAGGGTGGGTAAATTACCCCTGACCTAGCTAACAGAAAGCTGGGAACTTTTGTTATGGTTTCTCTGACCCTTGGGCACTCTGCCTCCTGATTGGGCCATGCAGGGGCTGGTGGTAATTTGTTCATTCCAGGAAGTGCTCTGCAATTTGTGCTTAGCAACTGAGGAGACCGACGCTTAAAAAACCGGCCCATTCACCACCAGAAACCTTTGCTTCAACGCCAATTCCTTCACCGGTGTCTGCTTCCCTCCACCAATTCCCACCCTTCCCCACTTGCCTCCCGCCCACTAGTCTGCCTCTATGAGGGACACTTTTAAAAATACATACAGGGGCTGGAGCAATAGCGCAACGGGTAGGGCGTTTGTCTTGCACACGGCCGACCCAGGTTTGATTTCCAGCATCCCATATGGTCCCCCGAGCACTGCCAGGAGTGATTCCTAAGTGCAAAGCCAGGAATAATCCCTGAGCATCGCTGGGTGTGACCCCCCCCCAAAAAAAAAAATCACTGTCCTCCCGTTGTTCATCGATTTGCTTCAGCAGGCCCAGTAACGTCTCCATTTTGAGACTTGTTACTGTGTTTAAACAAACAAAAAAATACATACGTTTCTAAACTGCGTTTATAGTGCTGTTGCTGAGAGTTTCCTCCTTTACCAACTTCCAGCACCCAGGCACGAATTTGTAATCTCACGGTGACTAACAAAGAAGCCCTTTGCACCACTAGCTGACCCATTTGTCTGTGTAACTGGGCCAGCTGAGGCTCTGGCTTAGGGATCTGTCCTGGCTGGGTTGCCACCATGACTGGTCGTGCCTCTGACACAATTGTTCTGTTGTATATTCTCTTTTTCTCTTGGTCCCTTGCCAGACCTTGGTTCTCTTGGGCCCAGAAGTGTCCCCGAAGACTCACTTCTTGTTCTGTTCTTACGCGGAGTTCTGTCTCTCCGGGAGAGGATAGTCTTCGCTCTCTACCCATTTCTGGACTTCCCCAAGTCGCCTACACTGCCCTGTTTTTGAATGGACGTGTCTAAATGAGTCCTTCTCGCCGAGATTATTCCCTGTTACGGTCCGGAAGAGTCTACCAGTCCTCTCTCTCCAGTTTCCGCTTTCCTCTTCTGTTGTCTGACCATTCTGTGCATTAGAATCAGTGTATTTGTGGCTCACTTGTTAGAAATGCTATTTCCTGGGGGCCGGAGCTATAGTACAGCAGGTAGGGAGTTTGCCTTGCACACGGGCAACGTGGGTTTGATCCCTGACATACCATATGGTCCCCCAGCACCACCAGGAGTAATTTCTGAGTGCAGAGCCAGGAGTAACCATTGAGCATCGCTGGGTGTGACCCAAAACAAGCAAAAAAAAAAAAAAAGTGCTCTTTTCTGTCCCCAAGGAGGAAGTTCAGCCTAGGCCCTATCTGAGCGAAGGCCTCTCTGCTCATTGAGGGCAGCTCTCTTGGGACTTTGCTCCTGCAGGGGTCAGAAACTACTTTCTTCAGGCTCCATGGTGAAGGGACTGAGGATTGGTCACCCCGAGGCTGGCCCCCCTGCTGTGGGACTCAAGGGGGGGAAGACAGAAAGCATTGGGGGTAAAAGGAGCCACAGAAAATAAAGAGTGTTGGGAGGATCCTGCCAGGATGGGAGATGATGCGTGCTGAGTGTAGACTATAAACCGAACATGATTGCCACTCAATGCCTCTTTTGCAAACCACAGCATCCAAAAGGAGAGAACAGAAGGGGATGGAGGGTGAAAGGGATACTGGGATCAGTGGTGGAGGAGAATGGGCACTGGTGGAGGGATGGGTACTCGATCATTGTATAACTGAAACCCAAGCACAAAAATTTGTAAGTCTACAACTATACCTCATGGTGTTTCACTAATAAAAATTAAAAAAAAAAAAAGGAGCCACAGAGAACATAAGTGTTTGGGAAGACACATCGATTCTTCTTTTTTTTGCTTTGGGGTCACCCCCTGATGCTCAGGACTTTCTCTTGGCTCTAAGCTCAGGGGTCTCTTCTGGCAGGGCTTGGGGACATCAGGGATGCTGGGATCAAAGCTGGGTCAGCCTTGTGCCAGGCAAGCGCTCTCCCCATTGTCCTGTCGCTCTGGTCTCAGGACAGAGTCTAAATTATGAACGAACAGATTGGAGGTGAAGAGGACTAGGGCCACCTCTTGTAGGGTGGTAACGGGGGTGGACGGGGGTAGGTTTGAACCTCCTGCTGGACCCATGGGCAGCTAGCAGGGGAACAGGCAGTCAGCTTTTGTGTGGGGAACAGGCTGGAGTGAGGCGAGAGTGGAAGCAGCAGGAGCAGTTGGGAGGTGGGCAGGAGATGATGGTCACTTGTGTGCAGGACAGGAAGGCGGCTAGCCAAAGGACAAAGGAGTGGGTCATGCTTGAGACCATCCTGGGCCAACGTGGTGGTGGACTGGGCATGGGAACAGGAGCCCCTTTTCCTTCTGGAGCCTTCAGGGCGCCTCCATCCTGCACAGATGGTCGATTCAGAACCCCTTGGACGCAGCCACATGGAGGGGTTCTGTGCTTCCGGCACAGCCAAGCCGGTAGAGGCCTCATTCAGACACCCCACAAGGTTTCCTCTATCTGCCTCCCAGGCTAGGTCCCCCACTCCCTCCGTCCCCATGGTCCTCTGGCCTGGGCAGCATGGCCCGTGCTCTCTCCTCCCTGTGTCTGTACTCTGTGCCACTGTGACACCAGTCAGGAGTTGGGTGGCCGGAACTCACAGCCCCCTGCTCTGGGATCTACAGTCACCGACTGTCCTGCCTGCAGGCCACCTTGACCCTCCTGTCAGGATGCCGCAGAGCCTAGATGTCCCCGAAGAGAGGTGGAGGAGATTCAAGCACGTGGGCAAGGACGCACCGGTGAGTACACGGCCCTGCGAGGGGCAGTGGGGACTGCGTGGCTGACGCTGTGCAAATGGGGGACACATGGCAGTCAGCATTTGGGTGACAAGACAACCAAAAAAAAATCAAGGAAAGGTTTGTGAGTATCAGCCCGATGCTGATTCCAACTTCTTGGGCCAGTTGTGGTTTTTCTGATAAAATAGGGGGACAGGGACCTGAGGTCGTGATGAGGGATTGGTGTGCTGGCGTCCCGGGCCTAATGTGTGCTATGTGGATCCTGCCTCCACGTTCTGCTCTCCCACATCTCCGACGCGTGTCAACGCATCTCTGACCAACACAGTACCCGAGATAGGCTGCAGCTTGGATGTCACCACCCCCCACACCAGTGCACACTTCCCAGCACCAATGTCCCACCAGTGGCTCCCACCTCAGCCACGTAACTTGAGGGCTGGAGTATGTGCTTTGCACCCTGGGTCCCGGATCTAACACCACACGGTCCCCCAAGCACTGCTAAGCTGAAGGGGACAGAGGGGGTGAACCTCCCTGGGGACCTAGGGGAAGAGTATGGAGAAGTCAGAAAGATTTAGCTTGGCTGACTCAGTAGCCCAGCAGTTTACTGGCTCTCTGCGGGACATGCAAAAAGCTCATTTAAAAGAAAACACGTGTGTGGGGATGTCTCCCCAGCACCCAGAGGCCACTCCCAGTGAGGGCCTAAGGTGCCAGGTCCCCCAAGGCTCCTCCATGCAGTGCTCAGGGGTGTGTGGCAGGAATTTAGCCCAGGGCCTTGGGCTAGCCAGACATGCTCTCCGACCCTCTGAACTGTCCCTCTGTAAAAAGTCCAGCTTTTCTCCTCATTTGGGGTCGCACTTGGCAATGCTCAGGGGACTTACATGGTTCAGGGGATTGCACCCAGGTCCCCTGTATGAAAAACAAGTGCCTCCCTTCTGTACTCTCTCTCTAGCCCCTAAATGTCGCCTAAACCAGAATGGAATCTTTTATTTAAGGAACCAGTCACACCTAATACCTGTCGTCTTCCTTTCAACTCATCTTTAATAGTTTTTCTGCTAAAGGTCCTCCATCCGGATCAATCACTTCCCCAGGGCACTCAATCAAACTGTCAAGTCTGGGTTTTCTTTCTTTTTTTTTTTTTTTTAATTTATTGAATCACCATGAGAACAGTCACAAAGCCTTTCAGTTTAAGTCTCAGTCGGTCATACAACGATCAAACCCCCATCCCTTCACCAGTGCACATATTCCACCACCAAGAACCCCAGTATACCTACCTCCCACCCACCCCCCACTAGTGTGGCAGATTTCCACTTTACTCTCTCTTTACATTGATCAAATTCAATATTACGACAGAAGACCCAACATTATTATTTGGAATTTCCCCCAACATTCAGACCTGCCAAGACATCGTTAGAAAATTTGTTTTCTATTGCTGATTATGAAGAGCATATAATGTCGTGTGGCCACAATAGTGGCCATACGAATTTGGATTTCTGATATTTTAGTAATAAGCCTAGAGGGATTACTGCCAAAAGCCCCTGGGTTCCGAAATTGCTTTTTGTGCCTCTGGGATGATGGTTGTTCAGAAGCCGGAGGAGGCATTTGAGGGTGGCAACCCGGGGCATTGTCATGGTGGGGAGCAGGGCCGATTCCATCCCCCCATCAAGTCTGGGTTTTCTTGAGATGAGACAAAAGGATTCTTTTTTTTTTTTTTTTTTTTAATAAAGACATCTTCAACCTGGTGTTTAAGTAAAACTCTTGGGATTGGTTTGAGATGAGTATCCAGCCGGCTTCCCTGCCAGCAGGGGTAGAGAGAGGCAGCATGCCTGGGGTCCTCCCCGTGTCCCCCTGACAGCTACAGGCCCTGGTCTGTTCTCTGCAGGTCCCCAGCCCTGGAGACGCAGGCAGCCCGAGGTGTGCCTTGAGAATCCTGGCCTGTGAGGGTAGACCTGGCTCTTCCTTTCACCCGGGAGCAGGGTTTGGCTGTCCGACATGTGGCCTGGAAGCAGGCATCTGCTGAGGGGGCCCCTGAGAAGCAGTGCCATCGTCCTTTTCCAGCCAGTAATGGCAGAAACACCAACTGGGGTGCTTTGAAGTGTGCCTTCAGGGGTTGAAGGCCTTGACCACTGTCCCCTGTTCCCTTCCATTTCCTTCCTCTCCAGACGAGGCGACAGCAGCGGATAGCAGTCAGCCTGGAGCTCCGGAAAGCCAAGAAGGATGAGCTGGCCATAAAGAGAAGGAACATCACTCACGTCTCCCCTGACCCAGCTTCCGGAGAGTCAGCTGAAGAGGTGGGTGGGGACCTGTCGCAGAGGGCCACGCGCATGTAAATATGTCCTTGGCTTCTCTGACTGGAAAAGGTTTGGGTGATCCAGAACAGATAAGCTTTCGCTAAGGGTCCTCAGGGGAAGTGGTGGTGAGAGCATAATGGGCTGTCAGAAACTAAGGATTTTTTTTTTTTAATTTTTATTAGCGAAACACCACGAGGTACAGTTGTAGACTTACACATTTTTGTGCTTGGATTTCTATTATACAATGATCAAATACCCATCCCTCCACCAGTGCCCATTTTCTACCACCATGGATCCCAGAGAAGCAAAAAAGAAATATTCGAAGTGACATCTGCACTTGTTTGTTCATTGCAGCACACTCTACAATAGCCAGAATCTGGAAAAAACCTGAGTGCCCGAGAACAGATGACTGGTTAAAGAAACTTTGGTACATCTACACAATGGAGTACTATGTAGCTGTTAGAAAAGATGAAGTCATGAAAGAAACCAAGGATTGTTACCTTTGCAGCCCAGAGTCTGTGGGATCGTGGATGTTCTCCCAAGGGATGGAGTTAGTGTCACTATGAATTGAAAGTCCACTTTTTATCCCTTAGCCAGGAACAGGAAGAGGTCCTTAGGAAAGTAAGTTCCCGATTTCCTGGTCATACAGATGTCAAGTCCTTCCTGGGACTCAGGAGCTGTTTCGGCTTCCTTCTTTAGCCACCCTAACCAGCTGACCTCCAGGAAAAGACTGTTTTTGTGAATCTTCTCTGGCATATGCCAACTGGGGGGAGTTCCCTCCTTACAGTTCCGGAGGGTTATCTAGGTTATGAGGAAGATGAGGCTGTGGGACAAAGCTCTGAAAGATGATGGATTCTGAGCAGCCTTTGTTCTCTAGCAGCATGTCCTCGCCACAGCAGGGTTTAAACAATGAACCCAGTAGTCAGGGGCCTTCTGGGTTCTACCTGAGCACCGCTGGGAGTGGGCTCTGAGCACTGCTGGGTGTGGTCCCCAAACCAAAATCAAAATAAAGTGGTCAGTCTTGGTCGGATTTCATCACTTCAGAGAGCCAGGACCCAGAGAGATACTAGAGCAGGCAGGGCGCTGGCCTTGCTAGGTTCAATTCCCCACACTCCATATGGTCTCCCTGAGCCCTACCAGGAGGGACCCTGAGTGCAGAGTCAGAGTAAGCCCTGAGCACTGCTGGTGTGGCACAAAAACCAAATGAAGACAGAAATCCAGGCTCATGAAGCGGCCCCTGCCAGCTCTGCACGCTGGTGACCAAGAGTTGCTGTTCTCGGGGCTGGAGTGATAGCACAGCAGGTAGGGCATTTGCCTTGCATGTGGCGACCCAGGTTTGATTCCCAGCATCCCATATGGTCTCCCGAGCACCACCAGGAGTAACCCCTGAGCCTCACCAGGTGTGACCCAAAAAGCCAAAAAAAAAAAATTGCTGTTCTCTTCCTCAGGCCCTGCCGGCTGTGGGCCCTGGGTCTGAAGGGACCCCCCTTCCCTGGAGGTGTCTGCTGAGTGCTCTTTTCCTCCGCGTGCTGCTTTCATTGATGGCTGACCTGCTTTATTGTACAGAGATGCCACATTTTGTTTATCCATTACTTAGAGGACTTTTGGGCTGCTTCCATTTTGGGGAACTCGGATGATAAATGCTGCTATCAAATGTGTGTACAAGTTTTCATGTGGATGTGTGTGTGTGTGTGTGTGTGTGTGTGTGTGTGTATACATGCATACATATGTTTAAAATTCTCTTGGGAGTATGCCTTCTGTTAGAAATTTAGGGTCATGGGAGCATTCTGTGCTTTACCCTTGGAGGAGTTTCCACTGGTTAATCCCCAGAACCTATAGATTAAAAAAAAAGGGGGGGGGGTTTTGTGGTCACACATGGTAATCCACACAGGGGATTACTCCTGACTCTTCACTCAGGAATTACTCTTGGTGGTGCTCAGGGACCATATGGTATGCTGGGAATTGAACCCAGGTCAGGTACTTCCAAGGCAAACACCCTTCTGCTGTGCTGTCTCTCCCTCCCCAAACCTCTGGATGTTACTTTATATGACACGAGGCTTTGCGGATGTGATTTAATGAAGGCTCTTGCCCTTTGGGGATTATTCTGGATTATCTGGGGAGTCCCCGTGTAGCCACAGCAGCCCTTAGAGGTTGATTTGCAGAACAGGAGAGGAAGGTAGGGGAGCTAAAATTAGTGTGGCATGCTTTGAAGACGGGGAGAAGCTCTGGCAAGCTCAGGACTCCAGCGGCTGACTGGAAGCAAAGCAAGGTGAGGGGACTACTCTCCCCTTCAGGGCTTCCAGCCCAGCCCAATACCTGAACTTGAGTTCAGTGGGTCTGAGCTTGAACTCTAAGGATATGTTTTAAGCCATTACACTTCTAATTTGTATTTTTTTTTTTATTTTCTGCTTTTTTGGCTCACACCCAGAGATGCTCAGAGGTGACTCCTGGCTCTGCACTCAGGAATTACTCCTGGTGGTACTTGGGGGACTATGTGGGATGCTGGGGATCGAACCTGGGTTGGCTGTGTGCAAGGCAAATGCCCTACTGCTCCACTATCACTTCGGACCCTACACTTTTGACCCCTACACTCTAATTTTTCTTCCTGCCTTTTGGGTCACACCTGGCAATGCACAGAGGTTACTGCTGGCTCTGCATTCAGGAATTACTCCTGACGGTGCTCAGGGGACCATATGGGATGCTGGGAATTGAACCTGGGTTGGCCGTGTGCAAGGCAAATGCCCTACCGGCTGTGCTATTGCTCCAGCCCCATACACTTCTAATTTTTATAGTTATTAGCAACCAGAAACAAATGTACTACCAAGTGTCTTGAAGAGTGCCATCCCCTCTTATGTGCTTCTTCCTGGTAACTGTTACTGTCTTGGACTAGAGCCTCCTGGTGCCATGGTTTGTGACTTTTTCAACCCCTGAGGACAGGCTCTGCCTGAGCTCTGGGCCACACCCCAGTGTTTACTGACCCCTGTGGCTGACTGCCAGCTGGTAACCACTTACCTTGTGGGTAGCACTGTAACATTGTCCTCCCGTTGGTCATTGATTTGCTCCAGTGGGCACCAGTAACGTCTCCATTGTGAGACTTGTTACTATTTTTGGCATATTGAACATGACACTATCTCCACTACCCAGCCATCGCCACACTCCAGGATGCTTTCCGGACCCGCGCGGCCGCTTTAAGACACTAAATACCCATCTTCCGGAATTGTCGTACCATATTTGATAGGGTTCAAATATGGTAACACCTACAAGGGTGATTAGAGGTCGCCCCAAAAGCCTCTATCCCTCTCGGAAAGACTGGCAAGCTACCGAGAGTATTCCGCCCGCACGGAAGAGCCTGGCAAGCTATCCGTTGTGTATTCGATATGCCAAAACCAGTAACTACAACTGGTCTCATTCACCTGACCCTGAAGGCTTCACCGACATGGCAGCACTGAGAAGGATGAGAAAGGAGAGGCCGACAAAATCTCAAGGCCGACCTAGGCTGCCACAACGAAGGAAGACAAAAATGATCGTCTGTACTTTCAATGCACGTATGCTAGCATCAGATGCATCCATTGAGGACCTGATGGTACAAGCGCGAATGATCAAGTACGACATCATTGGTCTGACCGAGACAAGAAGGCACGAATCTCACCATGCCGTTTTCGACACTGGAGAAGAATTGTTCCTCAGAACATGCGATAAAAGAGGTGTTGGAGGCCTCGGTGTCCTTGTCAACACAAACTTGGCCAAGAGCATTGATTCATTTGAATGCCTAACAACCCAAATCGAACATTTACATTTGAATAGATGTGGCTCACTGCCTGCAGTTTCTATCTTCGTTGTCTACGCACCAACATCTCATTATGATGAAAGAGAAATCGAGAAGTTCTACATGGAGCTAGAAAAGTTCTATAAGGAAGACCACACCTTCTACAAGATCATTGTGGGTGATTTTAATGCCAAGATAGGACCGAGAAGATCAGCTGAAGAACTTCACATCGGGACCCATGGCCTAGAATGGAATGAACAGGGTGAGAGACTGTCTGAGTTCATCATGTCGACCAAGACCATCCATGGTAACTCACAGTTCCAGAAGGCAGAATCTAAACGATGGACATGGGAGTCTCCCGGTGGACGATTCCACAACAAAATAGACCACATCATATTCAATCGACGGTTTTGCCTGACCGATGTCGCTGTTGTCCCAAAATTTCAAACGGGATCGGACGACCGTCTCCTTCGTGCAAAATTCTACTTCACAGAGCGGGGAGAAAGGGCTGCAAAGTTCAAAAAGAACTCCCAAAACGACCACCAACTGGGAACTCTTTGGCACTATTGCAGCATCATGGGAAGATGCCATTGTTGACAACATTGACGAGGAATACGATCGACTGGTTCAGCACCTCCATGAATGTGCGAGGAATGCCAAGAGAGAGATAGCCACAAAAAATCGCCTATCTTCAAAAACTCTTGAGCTAATTCACCAGCGTGGTTTGGCGCACGCCTCAGGCAACCGCAAGCTAACGTCCGAGCTCGCAAAGCAGTGCAGAGATGCCATCAAGGAAGACCTCAAAGAGAGAAGAGCAGAAGTACTGGTAGATGCGGCAGAAGCCGGGAAAAGTATTCGTAATGCCCGCCTGTCCTTTGCCAACTACAAGACCAAGATGACATCTTGATGGATCCATCACATCCTCCAGAACAGCAATGAAGAAGATTATCCATGACTTCTACTCAAATCTCTTCGATAGCCATGTCCACTTGACGACATACCAAATTCCACAGGATGGATATGTCGTTCCCAACGTTCTCCCTTCCGAAATCCGACATGCCATTTCGTCGGTAAAGAAACAAACAGCACCCGGCCCAGACAAGGTCCAGACCTGAACAGCTGAAGAACCTGCCATCAGTACTCATCAATACACTGGCTCGGCTCTTCACTCGCTACCTGTCTGAATGCAAGGTTCCGTCCCAATGGAAAACCAGCAGGACTGTACTACTGTTCAAAAAGGGAGACATCCATGACATTGGCAATTATCGCCCGATCTGCTTATTGTCTGTCATCTACAAGTTGTTCACTCGAGTCATCCTAAATAGGATTGGCAGAACACTAGATGAAGGACAACCATGCGAGCAAGCCGGGTTCCACAAAGGATTCAGCACCATCGACCATATCCACACGATAACCAAGCTCATTGAGGTTTCTTGGGAGTTCAAGATGCCGCTCTGTTTAACGTTCATTGATTTAAAGAAGGCCTTTGATTCTGTTGAGACGGAAGCGGTCACTGAAGCTCTAGCCAATCAGGGCATTCAAGCCCAATACATCAGGATCCTCCGTGAGCTGTATTGCGGATTCACTACCAGGATCTCACCATTCTACAAAGAAGTGATCGTTGATGTCAAGAGAGGGGTACGGCAGGGTGATACCATTTCACCGAAACTCTTCAGTGCCACCCTAGAGAACATCATGCGACGACTGGAATGGGAAGGAATGGGAGTGAAGATAGATGGTCGGCAACTACACCACCTCCGCTTTGCTGATGACATTGTTTTAATAACACCAAACATCAGCCAAGCGGCACAAATGCTGGCCGACTTTGACCGTGAGTGTGGAAAGGTAGGACTACAGCTGAATCTTATGAAGACAATGTTCATGAGAAACAGCCTCGTTCCTGATGCCCCATTCGCTCTCAACGGAACGACCATCTCCGAATGCAACAGCTATGTGTACCTAGGTCGAGAAGTCAACATGACAAATGACCTGGCACCCGAGCTGCGCAGGAGGAAGAGAGTGGCTTGGAACGCCTTCAAGAATGTCGAAGAAATAGCTAAGAGGACGAAGAACCTCCGGCTCCGGGCACATCTCTTTGATTCCACTGTTTTTCCTGCATTAAAATATGCCTCAGAGACCTGGGCCCTACACAAACAAGATGAGAACGCTATTCAGGTCTCTCAAAAAAGAATAGAAAGAGCTATGCTTGGAATATCACATTTCGCTCAAATGAGAGAAAGAATCCAGAGTTCTGACATCCGTCGATGATCAAGAATCAGGGACGCTGTCTCATTTGCCAAGGTGTCAAAAATCAGATGGGTTGGTCACGTAATGAGATTTAAAGACGACCGCTGCACTAGAGCTGTTACTGACTGGATTCCACGGGATGTCAAAAGACTGCGTGGCCGCCCACCTACCAGATGGTCAGACTTCTTTGTCAAGATCATGAATGATCGATTTGAAGCTCTTCATGTTCCCAGAGCAAACAGATGCCATTGGGCTACACTAGCACGCGACAGGGACAAGTGGAGACGTTACTGGCGCCCGCTCGAGCAAATCGACAACTAACAGAAAGTTAAGTGATTAAGTGATTAAGTGAACATGTCACGGGTTGCTTACCAGGCTTTGCCGTGCGGGCGGGATACTCTCAGTAGCTTGCTGGGCTCTCAGAGAGGGATGGAGGAATCGAACCTGGGTCGGCTGTGTGCAAGGCAAACGCCCGACCTGCCGTGCTATCACTCCAGCCCATCTTGTAGGTGCAAAGAGCTATATGGCTGTGATTTTGATGTTTTCTATCTAATAGTGATCATCTTTTCACATAGTTACTGGTTATTTTTTCTCTTTTGAAAGATGTGCATTCAAATCCCTTGCCCATTCTTTTTCAAGCAAGATTGTCTTTTTTTTGTTGAATCATAAGAGTTCTTTGTTCTAGATACAAGACTCAGATAATGATTTGTGAATATTTATTTTCTATTTGTGGATTGTATTATCACTAAAGAGTAAAACTTTGAACATGAATGTGATTCTTTTTCCTCCCAAGCGTGCTTAGGATGCCTGGGGTCTTTCCAGGTCCTGGTGATATTGAGCCACCCAGTCTGGTGGCTGCATTGGAAGGCCCAAGGATGTCTCTTGGGGTGCCAGGGACCACGAGGTCTACCTTGGTGCTTGGGGGCATCAGGGGGCTCCTGGAGCATGTGGTGCCGTGATAGAACCTGGGTCAGTTGCCTGCACAGCTGGTGTCTTGACCCCGGCACAGCCCCTGAAGCAGAGTTTCTAGATTTGGAAATGGTCTTCTTGGCTTTTCCCCTGGGGATCCTTGTGCTTTGTGTGTCATCTCTCAAAAGCCATGGTCACGGTCCTCCCGTTGTTCATCGATTTGCTCGAGCGGGCCCAGTAACGTCTCCATCATGAGACTTGTTGTTATTGTGTTTGGCATATCGAATACGTCACAGGTAGCTTGCCAGGCTCTGCCGTGTGGGCGAGATACTCTCGGTAGCTTGCCGGGCTCTCCATAGGGGCGGAGGAATCGAACTCGGGTCGGCCATGTTGGCCGCTTGTAAGGCAAATGTCCTACTGCTGTCTCTTTTTTTTTTTTTTTTTTTTTGCTGTTTGGGTCACACCCAGTGATGCTCAGGGGTTACTCCTGGCTCTGCACTCAGGAATCACTCCTGGGAGGCTAGGGATTGAAGCCAGGTTGGCCGCATGTAAGGCAAATGCCCTCCCCGCTGTACTGTCATTATAACCCAAAAAAAGCCACTATCTTGATCTTTGATCATGAAATTTTCTACATTTCCTTTTTAGAGTTTTTATTGTTGCAGTGTCAGGTGCTGAGACACAGCTGATTTTTTTTTAAATTTTTTTAAATTTTTTTATTTTATTTATTTATTTTTTTATTAGTGAAACACCATGAGGTACAGTTGTAGATTTACAAATTTTTGTGCTTGGATCTCGGTCATACCACGATCAAATACCCATCCCTCCACCAGTGCCCATTTTCCACCACCAGGATAATATCCCTCCCTCCCCATCCTCCCATCCCCCCATCCCCCCCTGCCACTGTGGCAGGGCATTCCCTTTTGTTTTCTCTCTCCTCCTGGGTGTTGTGAACAGCTGATTTTTTGATTTTACACGACCGTCTCATTTTCTAGCTCTTCCTTTTTTTTTAGTTTTTTCAGTCTGTTCTTTGCCTAACTTGTTATCCAACAACCCCTCTACCACACACACACACACACAGCCTTTTATTTTTTTTCTTTTTTGTTTTTTGGGTCACACCTGGGGATGCACAGGGGTTACTCCTGGCTCTGCACTCAGGAATTACTCCTGGCGGTGCTCGGGGGACCATATGGGATGCTGGGAATCGAACCCAGGTCGGCCGCATCAAGGCGAACGTCCTCCCCGCTGTGCTATTGCTTCAGCCCCAGCCTCAACTTCTCTCGGGGGTGGGTTTGGGGGAGCGGACCTTCTGCAATAAGTGAGCCAAGTCCAGTGACACGAAGAGAATCTTCCAAGTGGGATTTTTCCAGCTGGGTCAAGAGATTCTCTGAGAATGAGGCTCTAAAGGAGCAAGCTCACAGCCTTCCTTCTCCGGGACTGTGGCTACCAGGCTCTTGGTTTTCTTTCTTTTTTTTTAACCAATTTATTTTGCTTTTTTTGGGTCACACCCGACGATGCACAGGGGTTACTCCTGGCTTTGCACTCAGGAATTACTCCTGGCGGCGCTCAGGGGACCATATGGAATGCTGGGAATCGAACCTGGGTCAGCCATGTGTAATGCAAACGCTCTACCCACTGTGCTATCGCTCTAGCCCCAGGCTCTTGGTTTTCCATTCCTTTATTAGGGAGGAGGAGATGAAAGGAAGCGCACGCAGCAGTGCTGGGAGCCACCATCTGACTGCCTTTATGGGTGAAAACTCGAGGGGCTCCCTACACTTCCCTTCCCTTCTCACCAATGATTGTTGGCATGTTCTTTCCACATGGATTAAAGGTGCAGGGGCGCCCTCCACGTGGGGATAGAAATGCACCCCTCAAGCAGGGGGAGAGTGTTCCTTAGATCAGTGAGACCAGCACATGCTTCTTGCTCTAATGTCGACCAGCCTGTAGGTGGGATGTCCTATTCCAGGAGGCAGCTCTGACCCTCAGCTGGTTAGTCCTTGGTGCCACACCTGGCGATGCTCAGGGGTCACTCCTGGCTCCACACTCAGGAATGACACAGCAGTGGTGCTCAGGGGGTCATATGGGATGCTGGGAAATTGAACCGGGTGCGAGCAGGACCCTTCCTTCTGTCCTGTGGCTGCAGCCCCACCACCAGCTGCTTGAACTGCACGGCTTCCTTGTTTCCTTTGTCTTTCCTTCAGATGACTCTCACCCTGCTGGACATCATCAGTGCTGTGAATACCTCAGACCCATACCTCTGTTTCCAGGCCACGCAGGCAGCCAGGTACCAGCGGGGATCTTGTTTGCTGTAGTTCTGCAGCTCTAAATGAGCCCCAGGGGGCTGTGGGGCTTCTTGGCATTAGCAGAACATCCGCACAGCCCACGGGAAGGCTGGGCCTTCTGGAAAGGGAGAGCAAATTACCCCTCTAGACTGTCCTTGAGAATTATTTAAGATATACAAAATGTTGTCAGAGATGAATTGCTTCGTTCAAATTGGCCTCTACAGACTTCTCAGCTCACAGATAACAGCCAGAGAGGAGAAATGTTGCTCTGTCACAGCAAAGTGCCACCCATTGCCATCGAGGATCCAGGAGACTCTGCCTGGCTGGGCCTCCTCTGCCTTAGGAATGCCTGGAAATACGGGAAGGAGCTTCTTCCAGATGCCGCTCAGGCCTGGGTTTCTCTCTCTCTCTCTCTCTTTCCTTGTAAAGGAAAATGCTGTCCCGAGAAAGCAACCCCCCTCTGGAGCTGTTCATCCAGGCAGGGCTGATTCCCAGACTGGTTGAGTTCCTGAAGTCGTCACTTCACCCGTCCTTGCAGTTCGAGGCCGCCTGGGCTCTCACCAACATCGCCTCAGGGAACTCGGAGCAGACCCGAGCCGTGGTGGATGGGGGCGCCGTCCCGCCCTTGGTGGCGCTCCTGTCCTCCCCACACCTGACCGTGTGTGACCAGGCAGTGTGGGCACTGGGCAATATAGCAGGTGAGAACCTCCCTCTGGGTGTAAGGGAACTGGTGCAGGGTGGCCTGGGGCAGGCAAGCTCGAGTGAGAGCCCTAGTTGAAGAGCAAGGATGTGTTGGGGCCGGAGTGATAGCACAGTGGGTAGGGTGTTTGCCTTGCATGCGGCGGACCCGGGTTCGATCCCCGGCATCCCATATGGTCCCCTGAGTACTGCCAGGAGTAATTCCTGAGTGCAAAGCCAGGAGTAACCCCTGAGCATTGCTGGGTGTGACCCAAAAAGAAAAAAAAAAAGAAAAGCAAGGATGTGGGGACACCTCCCAAGACCACAGAGCCTGGCCTGCAGTCCGCGTGGGTCTAGGAACAAGGTGCAGGTCTGGGGCCCAGCCATATGGGGTTTTAAGGAACCCAGGAGCCTAGAACTCCTAGCAAAATATGACCAAAAACATTTGAAATTTTTCGCTAGCTTGGGGTACAAGTCTTAGTTCCATCCTGGGCCCCAAGAATGTGACTCAGATGGTCGGGCCCAGGCCCCACGCACTCAAAACCCTGAGTTTGATCCCCAGTGGGATTTTTTCTCCCCCCTCAGGACTGCTATGAGTCACTGTCACTGTCCTCCCATTGTTCATCGATTTGGGGGCCCAGTAACATTGTGAGACTTGTTACTGTGTTTGGCATATCGAATACATCACGGGTAGCTTGCCAGGCTTTGCTGTGCAGGCGAGATACTCTCGGTAGCTTGCTGAGCACTCCGAGAGGGGTGGAGGAATCGAACTCGGGTCAGCCATGTGCGTGCAAGGCAAACACCCTACCCACTGTGCTAGCCACCCACAATGATGAGGAAGACTAAAGTATTTTTACTTTAGTCTTTTTTACTCAAGGGGAGTAAATCTGGGGCCCTTGCTGCAGTGTGAGAAGCTCCTGGTTCTGACTCACAGCGAACGCCCGCTTGATTGGGCCCCTTAGGCCTTCAGCTACTGAAGGTCAGCCAAATATTAGCCATTACAGGTACAGAGAATCAATAACCCCCACTGCCCGAATCAGCAAAAGCAAACAGAGTGATTAGATCTCCGGGGGGGGGAGGGGGGGCTGTTGGAGAGAGGCTGAGCACACGAGCACACAGACCGGGCAGGAAGTCTGCTTGGGAAGTGCCTGTAGAAACCCGCCCCCTCTTTCCGAGACCACTTTTTGCATACTTGAGGAAGGGATGGGCAGTGTTGGGCAGAAAGCCATCACTCATGCCCTGCCTCTGTGGTGGAAGGGTTACCAACGGAGCCTTCCGGTTTGCAGTGGGCGTCCGAACCACAGCCGTGGCAGCAGGCTAACAGCCCCAGCCTGTTGGCCGCCTGGACTCTACTCTATGTTCAGGAGTGGCTTCCCCAGGCTGGAGTCTTCGGGGAGGTCAGACCCGTTGGCAGAGCTTGTCTTCCTGAGACCCGTTCTGTGAAAGGCAGCTGGGAGTTTCAAGAACTTTCTGGATGCTATTGGCTCCATTCTCGGCCACAGCCTCTCTGCCCATCAGCCGCTGCTGCAGGGGGCCCACTTTCTAGCCCCAGGCCTGGGCACCCTGCTGACCCTCCTGGCCCAGCCCAGGAGTAGATTTGGGCCTGTCACTCCTTGCACAGACTCAGTAGCCCTGGGGTGATGGCCGTGACGGTGCCCATGTGAGGCCCTTGGTTTGATTCCTGGCTTCACTCATCCCCTGAGCACCAAGCTGGGAGCAGCTCTGGAGTGACACGGGATGTGGCTCAACACGGGAAGGGAGATAGATAAGTTGCCCGTCCTGGGGCCTATTTGTTCTTTCTTTGAATGTCCTGTTCTTGTCTGCTTGCAGGGGATGGGCCAGTGTTCAGGGACATTGTCATCTCAAGCAATGCCATTCCCCACCTGCTCTCCCTGGTCTCTCCGACCACACCGGTGAGTACCTTTAAATTAGGAATCTGATCATGCAAACAGGTGCCTGAAGTTGGCAAACAGGGCTCATTCTTTGGAATCGCTTCTGAGTGATGCGGTGTCTGCCTGCCTCCGCAAGATAGGGTGTAAACAGGACCAGCACCGAGGATCTCTCTGCATAGAGATCGATCCAGATTCATTCTCGGGGGTGCAGTGCTGAGTTCTTCGGGTTCTTCAGGTCCATGAAATTTTTCCTAACCTTGCAGCCAAAGCTGACTAAACTCGGTTCCATAGGCACAGATGGATGAGTGACTGCCCAGTTCTCCAGACCTCAAGAGGGTTTAGAGCTGAAGTTTCATGTCCTGTGGGTTGATGTGGCAACAACAGGGAGCCCTGGATTAGGAGTTAAAGACTTGCCTCAAGAATAAGAGAATGGGATGGGTGGGGGGGGGGGGAGAGGAAGGAGTGGGAAGGAAGGGGGCGGGGTGAGGGGGAGAGACGTATACAGGGTCAAGGCACTTACCTTGCACACAGCTCACCTCAGTTCAATCCCCGGCACTGCATATGGTTCCCTGAGCACGGTCAGGAGTAGCCTGAGTACTACCAAGCATGTCCCTCACCCCGCTGAAGAGAAAGCAGAGTTGCCAAAGCCCAGGGGCTACCTGCTAGCCAAGGTGCTAGTCAAGGTGGGAGAGACCAGATGGGACCCCCAGGAGCCTGCAGAGCCAGGATGAGAAAAACCTTGGGAGGGTCTCTCGGTAGAAAGTGAAGCGTGTATGAACTTTCAGAAGCCTCTCCTGGCTGCTGGCGTCAGGCCATCGCAAAGGGAGGGGCTGCAGCCACTGGCCCGAGTTCTGCTAGACTTGGGAGGCAGAAAGAAGCAAGGTGCCCCCCCCCCCGCCCCCAGATGAATTTCAGGGGAGAGAGAGCCATGAGGAGTCGCAGTGGAACGAAAGGGTTTGGCTGCAGCGCATGTGTGAGGCCCTGTGGCAGGTCAGGAAGTGGACACACACGTATGCCATTCAGCCGGGTGAGATTAGCTAGAACAGGGGGCAGCAAAGCTTCGGTGACCAGTACTCTCCACCGCCTGTTCTGCGATGTTTGCCATTCCGAGGCCAGAGAGCAGTAAAGCCGCAGGAACCATCTGGCCTCTGTAAAAGGAGAAATGAGCCATCCGACCCTCTGCAAAAGGCTCCCCCACTCTGCCCTAGATGAGGAGGGAGAGGCCAGAACCAAGGTCCGGGGTGCTGACATTTAGAAGTCAGGCAGATCCTTGGTTTGCAAAAGAGACATTGAGTGGCAATCATATTCGGTCTATAGTCTACTTTCAGTATGCATCTTCCATTCTGGGAGGATCCTCCCAACACCCTTTATTTGGTGCTCCCTTCTCTATCTGAGCTGCCTTTTCCCCCAGCATGTGCAGCTGGCCTCCAAGTCACGGAGTAAAACTCTTGGTACTTATCTCCGCTATTCTTGGGTGTTAGTCTCCTATTTTGTTACTTTATGTTCCCTAGATGAATGCAATCTTTCTATATCTGTCCCTCTCTTTCTGACTCATTTCGCTTAGCATGATACTTTCTATGTAGTACCACTTGGATGTAAATTTCATGACTTCATCTTTTCTAACAGCTACATAGTACTCCACTGTGTAGATGTACCAAAGTTTCTTTAAACAGTCATCTGTTCTCGGGCACTCAGCTTTTTTTCCAGATTCAGGCTATTGTAAACAGTGCTGCAATGATTGTATAACTGAACCCCAAGCACAAAAATTTGTAAGTCTTCAACTGTACCTCATGGTGTTTCACTAATACAAATTTTAAAAAATAAAATAAATTAAATAAAAAAAAACATAGAAGTCAGGCAGAGCCTGCAGGCCTATTGGGAGAAGCAGCCCGTTTGGCAAAGGGAAATTGTTCAGAGGCGCCAATGCCTCTCCATGGGTCCAGAGAGCTATAGTTCGAGTTCCAGGGCAAAGCACATGCTTTGGCTGCCTGAGGCCCTGGGTTCCATCCCTCTCAAAGTCTTTACCAGAGCGGGGTGCAGGAGGTCAGGGAGCCTGAGAAGGGCAGGAGGACCCGCATGATCCCTGCAGCTCTGAGCCCGCAGTGTGGAGAGGTGGTGCTGGATGGCAGATGGCGGGACCGTGGGCAGGGTATGTGGTGCTGCTTCTCCTTGGTTTTGTCAGAGAAGTCGTCCCCAATTGGGTAGAGGAAAGGAGAACTGAGGAGCATTCGGAACCACCAGGAAATATTTGAACCTGAAACCTCTAGGTCCTTCTCTAGAATAAATTCCTATTTGAAGCTCAAAAGCATTGGTTCATGCTGGTAAATATATATATATATATATATATATATATATATATATATATATATAGTGGCATTGCTCAGGGGACCGTATGAGATGTCAGGGATAGAACCGGGGTTGGCCACGTGCAAGGCAAACACCTTCCCTGCTGTCCTATTACATTGGCCAGTGGTGATCAGGTGTCTGTGGCCCGCATAGCCTCCCCTCTGTTCTTGGCATAGGTCACGTGCCTGCAGAATGTTACCTGGACCCTGTCCAACCTGTGCCGGAACAAGGACCCGTACCCTTGCGAAGCGGCCGTGAAGCAGATGCTGCCCACCCTCTCCCAGCTCCTGCAGCACCAGGATGCCAAGGTGCTCTCAGACGCCTGTTGGGCCCTGTCCTACCTCACCGACGGCTCCAACGAGCGTATCGGCCACGTGGTGGATACAGGGGTCCTGCCTAGGCTGGTGGAGCTCATGGCCAGCACAGAGCTCAGTATCCTGGTAAATGCCCGCGTCGTGACGCGCCACATGTGGGCCTTGAGATCCACGCTGACTTCTCTTCCCTTGTCTAGTTCTGTTTCTCTGACCCTCTGCCTAGGGGAGCGCTGGTCTCAGGCATTTCCTCTGTCTCAGCTGCTTTCTAGTTACTGGAATCTCTGGTGGTTGGCCCACGCCTGACCATGCTCAGGACTGACTCCTGGCTCTGTGCTCAGGGACCACCTGGTGGTGCTGGGGGGGGGGTCATATGTGTCGCTGGGGATTGAACTGGGGTTAACCATGCAAAGCAAGTTCCTTTACCCCTGGACTCTGTCTCTGGCCCCTTGAATCTACTCCCCCTCCTTTATTTATTTTTTTGGTAGGGCTTTTTGGGTCATACCCAATGATGCACAGGGGTTACTCCTGGCTCTGCACTCAGGAATTACTCCTGGCAGTGCTCGGGGGACTATATGGGATCCTAGGGATTGAACCCAGGTTGTTTTCGTGCAAGGCAAATGCCCTTCCCACTGTACTATCGCTCCGGCCCCTGAATCTACTTTTATCTCAAATCTTAGTGAGGGTTGAGTAACTTTTTTTTTGGTGACAATTATAGAATATAGAAAAGCATCAAATTAAAATTGCTTATCCTTCACTCAATGAGCTTTTTTTTTTTTTGCCTTTCCTTCCAGTGGTCCGAGTATGTAGACTTTAACAGGCTGACTTAACTATGGAGAGGGATGTGAGAGAGGGCCCGTGTGTATTCTTGTGAAATTTATGCAAGAACAGAGTTTCTGGGCTGGGTGGGGGGTGGGTCGATAGCTGAGAGAGCTGGAAGCCCAGTGTGACCAGCAGCAGCTGGTCTCCCAAGAAACTTCATGAGTGGCCCCCTGGACTGAGCCGGGAGTCACCCTTGAGTAGTCACGTCTGTTCCTTGGAGGGCAGGTTAAGGGGGTGATCACGCTGGGTGCGGGAGGGGGTGACAACAGCTTCTTTCGAGTATCCTCCTGATGGCCTGCCACATGCCTTCACCTGCCACCTGGCAGGAGTGGCCAGGAAAGCTCTAGAAGGATCAATGGTCTGTGCTGGGGCTGCGGTGGCAGTGGCAGAGAAGCTAGAATAACCCAAATCAGCTCTCCTGGGTCAGTGGCCCTGGGTCCATCACAGACTGATCCTGGGGCTTTGGGGGCTGAGGGAGGTTAAGGGGGTGTTCAGGTATACATCTCCCATGCCCAAGGCCACTGGGATGTCATTACTCCAGTTAAGTGTAATAACAAAAGCTTGGTATTGGACCAAGTACTAATTCTATAGAAGTTTTGAGGCTGTAGACACAGCGGGTAGGCATTTGCCTTGCACGCGGCTGACCTGGGTTCGATTCCCAGCATCCCATGTGGTCCCCTGAGCACCGCCAGGAGTTAACTCCTATGCATTGCCGGGTGTGACCCAAAAAGAAAAACAAAACAAAACAAAAATTCTATAGAAGTTTTTCTCATTACAAACAGTGCAACGAGTAGGGCAGTTTCTCAGCCCAGGAAGACAGTGGCGTTGACTGCCTTGTCCAACTAACACGGCTTCCCCTTGGGCTGCCATGCCAGGAAAGCCAGGACATCCCTGTGGACCAGGGTGGTGGCCCTGAGAGTCACCCCTAATGAGGGCTGTGGACATCACTGCAGTTATCAAGCCAGGTGTGACTGCCCCATCCGCGGTAACCCATGTGCCACCCTGGCCTCATCTGCCCGCTTGGTTCTTACAGATGCCCTCCCTCCGCACCGTGGGCAATATTGTCACAGGCACGGACCACCAGACGCAGGTGGCCCTGGACGCCGGCATGCTGAGTGTGCTGCCCCAGCTCCTGGAGCACCCGAAACCCTCCATCCAGAAAGAAGCCGCCTGGGCGCTCAGCAATGTGGCCGCGGGACCCTGCCACCACATCCAGCAGCTCATCGCCTGCGATGTGCTCCCACTGCTGGCCGCGCTCCTGAAAAATGTAAGTGGTCCCTCGGGAACGGACCCTCCTGTTGTGGAAACGGGGTTCCCAGCGCAGCAAAGCAAACTTCAGTTCCTAGCCTTGCGGGGTGGGGAGGAGGGGGCAGAGAGGAAGGAGCACCTGCCTGGAAAACTCGCAGGACTGGAGAAGACAAAGTGAGCAGGAGCTGATGGAAAGGGAATCTCTCCCCTCGGTGCCCAGTTCCAGGCTGGAGCTGGTAATTCCGGCTTCTGCCCCACCTTGCTCCTTCTCAGGACGGAACCGGGGAGGCGTATCGGGTTGCGGTGCGTCTCAAATGTAGGGGTCACTTTGATCAAGGTGGCAACAGACACGGAAAATCCAGGTATCGATGTTGAAATACACCCGCGCTTCCTCCTTCCCCCTGACTGCCACCTTCCTCTCCCAGGATGACTGTTTTCATTCGTTCGATGGTTTTATATTTTTTTTCCCCTTTCATCCACTAGCTCCCTTTAAGCCATTGTCCGATTGGGAGTGGTGATCCCACATTGGTCGGGGGGGGGGGGGGGGGGGAGGGCTGGTAGGGAGGTGGCTAGGGTGGGGGGGGACACAGTAGCCACTGGGGGCGCTCCTGATGGAGGCTGGGGAGTGAGCGCCCAGGGGTGCAGCCCAAATCCTGCCGTTGTGTGTGGTGGTGAGATGCCAGCAAGTTGCTCCCGCCACAGGTGTGTCCCTGCTCCCTCATTTCGGACTCTTCCCTTGGAGGCATAAGCTGAATGATGGGTTTTTTACTTTTATCTTATTTTATTTAATTTATTTTTTTATGTTTTGGTTTTTTGGGTCACATCTGGCGATGCACAGTGATTACTCCTAGCTCTGCACTCAGGAATTACTTCTGGCGGTGCTTGGGGGACCATATTGGATGTCGGAGATCGAACCTGGGTCGGCCATGTGCAAGACAAATGCCCTACCCACCGTACTATATTTCCAGCCCTTTATTTTAAACTGATGGCACTGTTTCCCCAGCTATGCAATGGGAGCGACTCCTCCTGCACAGGAGTAGAAGGACCCGTGATTAAGTGCTCGCATCTTCTAGGCAAAGCACCTTTTACAGATGGGAGGGATTTCTGTCACCTCCAGACAGCTCAGCACTCAGGATCATGTTCGTAGGTCCAGCTGGGAGACTGTGGAGTTCCTTAGCCAACGTTTTCCTGGGCCAGAAAGCCTGGCCAGGATCATTTGAATATGGAATGCCAAGCAAAATCCCCGATCCATGCTCCTGGATTGACTTAAGTTGGGTTAACATTTCCCATAACCAGAGAGGCTAAGTCGGAATTCCCTCTCAGAGGTGCCCCCTGGGTTACCCAGGTTGCCGTGGACTTTTGTGGCTGCTGCCAACCTAGAAACTGTGCCAAGGCTGTGTCGCCATGGTGATGTCCATGAGGACGGAGAATGAACACAGACGTTCTGTTTCTGCAGGGGGAGTACCGAGTCCAGAAAGAGGCTGTCTGGACCATTGCTAACTTCACATCGGGAGGCACCATGGATCAGCTAATCCACCTTGTCCGTGCTGGCATCTTGCAGCCGCTGCTGAATCTGCTTAGTCTCCACGACACCAAAATGGTTCTCATTGTCCTCAACATCATCTCGTACATCTTCCAGGTGACCTGCTCTGCCCGACGGTTCCTCAGCAGCCGTCTTGAAACTGAACACGCTTAGTTCTCAGTCCGAGTAGGAGTCTTCCCAGCCCTTCATTCATTCACGCATCCTTGGGGTACCAGCAGAAGGTTGAGATCTAGCACCGTGTTCTCAGATGAATGTCTTTGTGCCCAGGGTCCCCCCCCCCCTTTTTTTTTTTTTTGCTGTGCCCAGGGATTGAATCTCATGCATTTGAGGTCTGGATCTGGGCTCTGTCACTGACCACATTCCCTGCCTCCCAGTGCATTCTTAAAGTATTAGGATAGAAAGGGCAGAGGAACTGATGGAACTTAGGTCTTAGTGGGAAAAGGGACAGAGCTTAAGGCAGTGATAAGGCTTCTGCTGCTGAGTCCGGAGGGGGTTGTGAGTCTCTTGTACACAGGATTCTGGAGAAACTTCCTTGAACGTATAAGGAAAGACCCAAGGGAAGTGAGTCCTGTGACTACTTGGGAAAGAAAATTCTAGGGAAAAGGAAAATCAGTGATGAATATAGACAGAGCAGTGCAAGAGAACAGAATATTGGGGGCCTGGGGTCAGCTTCTGTAGGGCCTATGAGAACTTTGACTCTGAGTGGGAGGGAGACACCAGCTGAAGGACCGAAGCAGGAAAACAATGGTGGAGGCTGATCCTGGATGTTCTAGGAAGCTCAAACAAGGGATGGGCTTGGCTGAGAAGCAAAACCTTAGTCGGGAGAGATCCTGAGGGGCCATGTGGAAGTGCCCCCCTATTCAGCCACAGGCTGGGGGGAAATGCATGATGAAACGCTGACTCCCAAGTCCAGAAATGTCTCGTTTCTGTAGGAACAGAGTCAGTGACTATTTACTCAGTACTTACCAGAGTTTCCCAAAGTGGGTGATAAGGGGATGCTGGAATGATGGTGGGGGGAGCAGTAGGAGCATTGGGTAGGTTTCCAGAGGGGCCAGAGTGGGTTTGCCTTTCTTTCCTAGGGGACAGAGGCCCCATAAAGTTTGGGAGGCTCTGCTGAGCTCCTGGTTCATGCGCTCCCTAGTGACACAGCTCTGCTCCCTGGGGCCGGGAATCGGGGGCAGCTCGGTGTCATAGGCAGGGGTCTCTCCTGAGGTTCCAGAGCCTCACGGGGGTGGTCAGAGCTCCTGAAGGCTGGGCAGAAACAAGAGTGTCCAAGGAACTGCCTGCATGTCCTCACACTATGATAGTCGCCTTCCTCTGATCTGAGCCCCACAAGAAGGCAAAACGTTCCTTATTTTGTTTTAATGATAAAATCGACATAACGTAAGTTGCCATCTTGACTGTTATCAGCTCAGCTCAGGGATCAGCAAATCTGTCTTGCCCAGCATCTGAGTCTGCTCACAGAGCAGGGCCTTGCCCAGCAGTCAGAGTTAGGGGAGTTTATCCCTCTCCATTACAGGTGCTTAAAATCCACGGGATAAAGGTCTTAGTGGGGAATGGCGTCTAAAGCAGCTTACACTTGGGGCTGGAGAGATGGTCGCGGGCAGAGTGCTCGCTTTCTGTGCAGCTCACCCAGTCGTGGTCCCCTGACTTCCAGGAGTGATCCCTGAGCTCTGAGCCAAGAATATACTTTGAGCATTACTGGCCGTGGCCCTCCCAAAACAAAAAGGTCATATGTATTGGCATGTAATATAATAATCACTGTCACTGTCTTCCTGTTGGTTATGAGCTTGAGTGGCCAAAAAGCAGCTGAAACAGGAAGCAGCATCCCTAGTTCTCCAGGAACAGCAAATCAAAACCACCCCGAGAGGCTTCCAAGCATCCCTCGGGTGGCTGATTTTATTTTATTTATTTACCATTGTATACCACTGTCCTCCCATTGTTCATCAATTTGCTCGAGCGGTAAGTCTCCATTGTGAGACTTGTTACTGTGTTTGGTGTATCGAATACGTCACGGGGAGCTTGCCAAGCTTTGCCGTGTGGGCGAGGTACTCTCCGTAGCTTGCCGGGCTCTCCGAGAGGGGAGGAGGAATTGAACCCGGCTCGGCTGGGCTGGCTGCGTGCAAGGCAAACACCCTACTGCTGTGCTATTGCTCCAGCCTATATTGTATTATAATTATATTATATTATTATTATCACATAATCCTAATTCACCTTTACTTTCACTCCCCCCTTTCATTGGCCCTGCTCGGGTCTTACTCTGACTCTGCTCAGGGGTCACTCCTTGCAGTGCTTGAGGGACCGGATGTGGCACTGGGGATGGGCTGGCAACTCCTTGACCCCTGTGGATCTCTCTGGCCCCTCCCCTTGACGTTTTCAGGGGCTGTTGTGCTGTTTAGCTCATCGTTCTGTTTATTTTGAGGGTAGGAAGCAAAGTGGAAGCCACAGTCCACTGGTTAGTCTTGGAGATAATTTGCACAGAATCCCATCAGTTATGCAGATCAGCCCATTGGGGGCCACAGGAGGGCAGGATCACCTGGGGCCATCTCGGAAGCTGCTGGGTTCTCCTGGCTCAAGCCCTTTTCCAGGCAGCTAAGCCATTTGAAATGTTTCAAAGTGACTCCAGGGAGTTGCTTTTCAGCCTTCGCTCTAAGCATCCGTTTCATGTACTGTCTTGGAAAGAACTGAGTCGGAAGAGGCTTGAAACAGCCCAATCAGACACTGAAGGCTTTGAGGAATGGTGGAGATCAAGGGGAGAGACTTAGCAGCTGGGCGGGCGCGGTGCGTCTGAGAAAGCCCACTGCGGGCTCCACAGAGCGAGCCTCATCAAATTCCTTTGAACCTAATACTTGATTTTTTTTTTTTACTTTCTCCTATTTTATTTTATTTTATTTTTAATTTTTATTAGTGAAACACCATGAAGTACAGTTGTGGACTTACAAGTTTTTGTGCTTGGGTTTTCTTGATTTTTGCCTTGGGAGAGCCTGGGCAAACACCGTCTGATGGACCGGGAATCCTGTGGGTGTGGGACGGGTCATAGCATCTCAGTGGGCTGAGGGGCGCAGACGTGACACCGGTCTCACAGACGTGACAGACTCTGAGCCTCGGCTGTGCATGGAGTGTCGTAGCAATGACACAAATGAACAGAGTTTCGGGGGGAGCAGAACATCGCCAAGAGTTTGGCAGTCAAGAGGGTGACCTGATACTCTCTCAGGCACAGGCCCAGTGCGGGGTCCGGGGCATCTCCCACCCCTGTTTCCTTTCAACACTTCGGTTCAGGCTTCAGCTTCTGCCCCAAGGGCCTGTGGGTCTCTAGCAAGGCCTGGGGGTGTCATTCTGGACCCCAGGACTGGCTCCTGAGTTACCTTCAGAGCCTCTCTGAGAAGTCTTGTCCCCTAGGTAAGTTGGCATACCTGCCGCCAAAGCACTGTCTCCTCCGTTCCCCCAATACCCCTTCAATGTGTGCCACATTCCACCTCTCCCGGTTGCTGTTGTCCTATGTTTGCCCAAGCTTGGCAAAGGAGCGGTCACAAAACCCAGGTGTTTGCCAGGTGTCCCTGTAGCTGACATTCACAATGGGAACGGCCTTCTTTTTTGGCTCAAAAGATCAGTGAGGGCTGGGCAGAGAGTACGGCAGGAGGGCAGCCCTGGCACCCCATATGGTAACCTCAGCCCTGCCAGGGGTGATCCCTGAGCACAGAGCCGGGAGTTAGCCCTGAGCACCGCTTGGTGTGGGTCCCTCCCTTTAAAAAATCCATGCCCCCTGAAAATCTTTACCTTTAAATCTACCTTTAGTGAACAAGACACCCCTACTACCCCCCCCCACCAACACACACACACACACACACACACACACACCCCTGAGGCTACTCCTAACACACACACACACACACACACACACACACACACACACACACCCCTGAGGCTACTCCTAAGTTGTTTGTTTTGGAGCCACAGTCAGCAGTGCTCAGGGCTGACTCTGGGCTCTGCACTCAGGGACCACTCCCGGCGGTCTCACATCCTTCTAAATTGTTCTGTCCCCCACCCCATCCCCACCCCCCAGGAGTGTTTTTTGCCCACTTTGGACAACACTGTTCTTTAATTTCAGCATTTGATGATTTGTCTTGTTTTCCTGTTCTCACCATGACTTCTCTCCTACCATTGCTGGGAAAACCTTCCCTGAGTCTCATCTTTGTGGTTCTGTGTGTCTCGAGCACTGCAGTCAAGCTGCCTCAGACACCGGGCGGGATTTGCGCCCCCAGATTATTTGATTAGAAGACCCACTCCCTGTTCCCAGAAGCTGGTCCCTGAGTCCACAGTGCTGTCTGAGCTCAGGCCGCACACAGCCCCTCCTAGACATGCCCTGACCATCCTTTCAAAGAGCGGGAAAACCGTTTCCCTCACCAGAGGAGATGCCTGCTAAGGAAAACCGTCTCTGGTGCAGGGAGGCTGGCCTGGGTGGTGGACCTGTCCACGGTGTCAGGGATGCGTGCTGTCAGGAGGGAGTTCCGGGCAGATTCCTGTCGGGGAAGGGGGCTGAGTGTAGGCACCTCTGGCCTAGAACCTGGGCACTCAGGGCTCATCCTGCCTGCAGGCTGCCAAATCCTTTTCCCAGAAGCAGAGCTTGTGTCTTCTCGTGGAGGAGTTCGGTGGCATTGACAGAATCGAGGCGTTACAGTTCCACAAGAACCCGCAGATCGCACTGACGGCCTCCAGGCTTATGGAGAGACACTTGTGTGAGGTGAGTGAGGGGCATACAGAAAACGAACGCCCTAGCTCCCATGGCCTTCATCTGACCCCTCTTGGCACCCCTCCATGTGGCCTGCGTTGGGGGGGCACCCTCTGCTCCTTTGGGAATCGGTTTCTTGACTCCTGGAGAGAGCTCTAACCCCATCCCCATAAAACTCATCCTGCTACCCTAGTTGGTTTAGAATTTCATCCCTCCACCCCCTCCTTGCCCCTTTGTGGGGTGGGGAGGAGGAGAATAGGGCTGGGAGGGGGAGAATGGGCACGAGGCAAGCCTCTGGTCTGGAAAGCCCATTTGGCCACTTACGGCCTCTTCGTCTCTGGTGTTTGGAGATTCAGCTCTACAAGAGGCTAATTTCTAAGTGTTGTGCAGGAACAGGGAATAATCAAATCTCATCGGACCGCTCTTAAACGACTTTCATTGTGGGAAAAATCCATCAGACGGAAAATTGACTACTTCAGCGCTTCTTAAGTTCAGTTCAGTTGACAGTACGTTCCTGCTGTGTGACAGTCATCAACTAGGAAGGCTCATCTCCCCCATCCAAAAGCCCATCCCCGTGACTACTGCCCCCATCCCTCTCCCAGCCCCAGTACTGCCATCTCACTTCCTGCCACATGGAGGGGTACCAAGAGGGGGTCAGATGAGGGCCCATGGGAGCTAGGCATTCCAGGGGGGTAGTACTCCGCCTCTTGTGGCCGACTTATTTTGCTAGGCACAGTATCTTTGTTGTAGGGGCACCGTGCTCAGGAATCACTCCTGATGGTGCTCAAAGGACCATGGGGTACCAGGGGTAGAACTTAGACCTGTTGCGTGCGAACATAGGCCTTGACCCTCCGCACTATCCCTCCAGCTAGAATCCCTCAACAAGGCAGAGAATCCATAATGCCTGCCTATATTGTAGCATGAGTTGAGTAAGGACTTCTGCCCTTAAGGCTGAAGAGCATTTCACTGTAAACTGCTCGATTTTCCCGCTCAGTCCTACATGGACACTTGTTTCCTTTGAGCTGCTGTGGATAATGCAGTTATGAGTGGCGGAGGAGAGTATCCATGGTCATGCATCTAATTTTTTCTATCTCATTTTTTTGTTTTGCATTTTTTTTCTTGTGTGCCAGAAATTGCACCTAGGTTCCTACATGCATAGCTCACACTCTGCCACTGAACTAGCTCCTAGCCCATGGTGTTTTGGTGTGAAACTTAGAGTTTACAAAGTGAGGGTTATCCTGCTGTCCCTGCAAACTCTTGGCCACTCAGTCAATCTGATCTGGTTGATAGTGGATCCTTTAGCTCAGGACTAAGATGATGCTCAAAACCGAAAAGGCACTGAAGGATGACAGGCTTCATTGGGGTTACATTTCCTGGTGAAAACCTTGAAATTTAGAGCTTCTTTCAACATAGGGTGCAGGTCGTAGAATTCATCCAAGTGCTCCCAACCGAAGCAAAGACTGTATCCTAACTCACTATAAGATAGTACTCTGGATCCAAACGGTGTTTTACTTGTTTATTTTGGGGGTTTGGGGCCATACCCACGACACTAAGGAATCAGCCCTGACAGTGCTCGGGTGACCAGATGGGATGCGAGGGATCGCACCCTGGTTGGCTGTGTGCCCGGCAATGCCTTACCCATTCTATTAGCTTCCTGCCTTCCCAAACTGCATTCTAGGATAAGCCACAGTTGGGAGGATGAGGGCAGAAATCGCACAGCAGAAAGGGCACTTGACTTGCACGCAGCCAACCTGGGCTCAATCCCCAGCATCCCCTGTGGTCCTCCACGCTCCACTGTGATCCCGGGCTGCAGAGGAGTAAGGAGTAAGCCTTGAGCGCAGCCAGATGTGCCCCCCACCTCTGCCCGAATGAGCCAGATGGGGGTGTGTGGCTTAGGTGGTGAGGCACATGACTTGTAATGTGGGAGGCCCCGGGCTCCATCCCCACCTTAGCTCTGCTAGTTGTGCCCCCTCATGCCCCACCCCAGGATTATAACCCCCCCACACACTGTGATAGTGACAGAAAAGCAAATGCTTTTTTTGGGGGGGGGAATCACACCCAGCGATGTTCAGGGGTTCCTCCTGGCTCTGCACTCGGGAATTACTCCTGGCAGTGCTCGGGGGACCGTATGGGATGCCGGGGATTGAACCCAGGTCAGCCTTGTGCAAAGCAAACTCCCTACCTGCTGTGCTATCACTCTGGCCCCACCAAACGCTTTCTTACTTCACTCTGAGCTAGAATAGTCACACTCAGAGTAGAACATGGTTGCTGGGGTTTGTGTGCGGGGAGCAAGGGGGGACAGGGAGTGAGAAGATGTTTCATACGGAAGAAGGGAGGGCATCTGGAGACAGATGCGGCTGATGGGCACAGAGCACTGTGTGGGCTAATACTAACTGTCCCCTGAATGACTCAAGATGGTCTATGCTGGGCCCAAGAGATAGTACCCGGTGCAAGGTGCTTGCTGGGCCTGCGGGTGAATCCATCACTGGGTAGGGCCCCACACCCCTTCCCCAAAATACGGTGGGTGCTAAGTTTCATCACACACATGCACACAGAATTTGAGGCCCATCCCAAGGAATATCAAAATGAGTCTGTCCTCTGAAGGCCCCTTAGGGTGACTTAGCTTTAATTCTCAGGGTGTGGGGGAGAGAATGCTAAGGGCCAGGAAGTACAACATGTCTTTTCTCCCTGAAGGAAGAAGAACGTGAAGCAATGTGCTCGGCTCTAGAAGAAAATAAAGCCCTGTACTCGGCTCCGGACACAGACCATGAACTCTTGAAGTGCTTGACCAATAAACACCAAAGCCCCCCAGCCCCTATGCCAGCCTCAAGAACCTTGCAGGGTTGCTTCCTGAAGAAGTAGTCTGTGTGTTGGTGGGTTCGAGGCTTTTTTAAACTGAAAGTTAATAAAATGTTCACACTTTCATGAAAGCGCGCGCAGCCTCGGGCCTCACAGGTGCCGGTGTAGGATGAGGCCGAGGCGGCCTGGAAGAGTATCCACCGCCCCAGGCCAACTCTGACTGGATGCCACTAGGATTTGGGAAACATATTTGATGCTGGGGGGAGGGGAGACTCTTCCTTTTTATATTCCAGTGATGCTGGAGCGATAGCACAGCAGGAGGGTGTTTGCCTTGCATGCAGCCGGCTGGCCCAGCTGAGCCAGGTTCAATTCCTCCGGCCCTCTTGGAGAGCCTGGCAAGCTACTGAGAGTATCTCGCCCGCACGGCAAGACCTGGCAAGCTACCCGTGATGTATTCAATATGCCAAACAGTAACAAGTCTCAAAATGGAGCCGTTACTGGGCCCACTCGAGCACATCGATGAACAACAGGAGGACAGTGCTACAGGGCTACAGTGCCTAGTAAGACCTAGGACATTCTTCAAGAAGAGCTGTGTGGGCTGGGATCAGGACACTGCATGGTTTGCACACTGGAGTTCCAGGTTGGATGCTGGGGGCTACCTGTGTTCCCCTGAGTCCTGCCAGGTGTGGTCCCCCAAAACAAAAGTGAGAGAATGGGAAGGAGGGAGAATCTTAGGGAGACAGCGACAAAGGCGTCTGAGGCCATCGGGCCCGCATTCCACCACTGAGGTGCAGAAATGAGCTCGCTGGGCGCCACTTCTGGACCACACTCTCCCCGCACCTCCAGGCCACCTGCAGCCCTGCACAGCAAGGGGGAAATGCTGCGAGTGCTGCCCAGTCCACATTCTCAGACGCTGCCTCAGGCCTGAGAGTAAACCTTTATCTTGGGAACGTGGAGACTGTGTCCACCCACACATGAAAACGGGGGGTGGGGGGGGGGGGCCTCGAGGTCCTTGACTCCCCCTCCTACAGTCATCAGCTTGGCACATCTTTGTCCCGACAGACTCTCACCTTCTGAATCTTAGTCCCAGGGATGAACATTGAAGCAGGAAATACCCCTGAGCATTACTGGGCATTGTCCCTCCCCGCCAAAAGTAAACAAATTTGACAAAGGAGCCATTTGCAGGGCTGGAGCAATAGCACAGCGGGTAGGGCCTTTGCCTGGCAGGTGACCAATGTGGTTCGATTCCCAGCATCCCATATGGTCCCCCGAGCACTGTCAGGAGTAAGTCCTAAGTGCAGAACCAGGAGTAACCCCTGTGCATCACTGGGTGTGACCCAAAAAGCAAAAAAAAAAAAAAAAAGCACAAACAGACAAAAAAATGCTTACAAATTTGGGGTGCTCAGAGATGGTGTTAATCACATTTCAACGAGTGCTCATGTGCCCGGCTCTTGTGTTGGCGTGACTGGCTGGGTGACAGAGGAGGAGAGTATGGGTGGCTTTATGATGGCTTTACTGTGTGGAAACTGATCTGCAGTCACTCGGACCCTCCAAACAGGGACCCTCAAATCTGTTTTGAACCACGGAAGAAATGCAGTTCTTCAGCATGCTCGTCAGCCCTTTGAACCCCCTCCCCACCTTAGAATGCTAAAGTTCAAAGTCTAAAATAAAATTGTCGGATGGCTGATTCAAATATGGTGGTAGAAATGAGACATTCAACCAGATTGGAAGTTGAAGAAAAATCAGCTTCCAAATGTAAAGGATTCAATGAGTGGCCAGAAGATTGAAAATTAACCTCTGCCAAAGCACTTCATTGTGAAATTTCAGGTCCTTGTTCAAAGAGTTCTTACACATTTCCAAAAAGGCAGAGACAAAAGTCATGGACAAAGGATCAGGAATCCGAATGTCTATCTTCTTACCAGCCACTCAAGAAACCTTGCTCATCTCTGGGTTCTAGGTCAGATAACTTGACGGGTACACTGAATGGGAACAGATGCATCGTCAAAAAAGAATCTAAACTGATGATCCAGAAAAATCCACCCAGACTCTGACACTGGAAGGCTCAGGCGCAGAAATATAACCAGCAGATAAAAGAGAAAGGTTAAGATGAATAAATGCACGTGCTTTCTGCAGAAGAAACAATTCACAGAAGCCAGGGAAATGGAATCACTGTATTCTTCTCAACAGATTTTGGAAGATCTGGCAGCTGCAAAACTGACCTCAGAAATGAATGAGAAAAGCTTAAAGAGAAGTGGGATTTTCTCACCATATTTTTAAGTAACTATTTGTTTTGGGGCCACACTTGGCAGTGCACACATTGTGACTTTGTGCTTGGGGATCATTCCTGGCGTTCCAGGGGAACCGTATGCAGTTCTGGGCTTTCAACTACTTGTAAGGCAAGGTCCACCACTTGTAAGGCAAGTTTAAGACACTTGCCTGTATTATCACCCCAGCCCCATCTCTTATTACCATATTTTTAGATCTAAATTTAGGATTACCTTTCAAGTACTCTATCAGAAAAGGGTGGAAACTCCTACCTCTTGCCTCGAACATACAACAGCAAAGTACAGAGAGAAAGAGGTACCATGATTTAAAATGTTATTCATGGTGGGACTGGAGCAATAGCACAGCGGGTAGGGCGTTTGCCTTGCACGCGGCTGACCTGGGTTCGATTCCCAGCATCCCATATGGTCCCCTGAGCACTGCCAGAAGTAATTCCTGAGTGCAGAGCCAGGAGTAACCCCTGAGCATTGCTAGGTATGACCCAAAAGCAAAAAAAAAAAAAGTTATTCATGGTACCATGATTTTGTAAAGTCATTCATGGTCAAATTCCAGGCATACGATTTTCCAATACCAATCCCATCTCCAGTGTCAGGGACCACTCCTGGCTGGACTCCGGGATCATATGGGGTGCCAGGCACTGAACCCAGGTCGGCTGCAGGCAAGGCAAGCTCCCGAATCATTGTCCTATCGCTCTGGATGCCAAGACGTATATTTTTTTTTGGCTGTCCACCAGTACCCAACAATGACTTCCTGAAAAGTGCCTTTTTTTTAAAATTGGTTGACATAATTCTTTTATAAAGTTCTTAAATGGTTGCAGTGGTTTAAAGGGGGGACTCCTAGAGCACCCTCAGTCCCAAAGTATAGGGAGGAGAAGGACAAACAATGAGTGGAGGGTGGGGGGGAGGAGAGACAGATGAGAAGCAGCTGGGTAGGGTCAATGTCCACCGGTGGAGCTGAGGAATGATAGCGCTAGACATCCAAACCAGAGTCAACAACACTGAAATCATCGGACCCAAACTTAAATACACAAACTTGAAAAGGTGCCTGTGGAGACTAAGGCTGGGGTGGGGGAGGGGGAGGGGCGGGAACCTGGAAACCCTGGGGGAGGGGAGACAAAGATAGAATTTTCTTTTGGTTTTATTTTGGGGCCATACCCAGTGATGCTCAGAGGTCGCTACCACTGGCTCTATACTGGGGGGGTCACTCCTGGCAGTGCTCAGGAGATGGTATCTGGTGCCGGCAATCAAACCCCAGTCTGCTGTGTGCAAAGCAAAAGCGCTACCCACTGTCCTATCATTCTGGCCCCAAGGGAGACAGAAGATAGAGGAAGAAATTGAGATCAATGCAGATCTTAGGAAAAACAGTTCCAGAGTCAAGCTGGCAGCAAACCTGGAAAACTGTGTCCTGTTTCACACACAAATCACAAATCATCCTGTTATTCGTCGATTGCCTCGAGCAGGCCCCAGTAACGTCTCCTTCATCCTAGCCCTGAGATTATATTCAAGGCTCTTTGCAGTAGAGCACATCCCTTGCACGTGTGAGGCCTGGGGTTAGACCCCAGCAGCACACACAAAAAAGAAAAGCAGAACTTAAAGTAACATAGGGACTGGGAGGCCTGAGGGGAAGAACTAGGAATTCTTCTAGAAAAAAACCCAAACCAAAACATTGGGCCTGGGGAGATGGCTCCAAAAGTAGAACACACGGTCAGCATAGGGAACCCGGGTTAGAGCCGCAGCCACCACCAGCAGTGACCTCCCCCCACCCACCCTCCACACAAGCACTGATGTGACCCCAAAACAAACAGGGGCTGGAGCGATAGTACAGTGGGTTGAGAGTTTGCCTTGCACAAGGCCAACCCGGGTTGAATCCCCGGCATTCCATATGGTCCCCCAAGCACTGCCAGGAGTATTTCTGAGTGCAGAGCCAGGAGTAACCCCTGAGCATTGCTGGGTGTGACACAAAAAGAAAAGAAAAGAAAACAAAACAAAACAAAAATAACCAAACGAACAAAAAAAAAAAAACCAGATGAATGAATGGCATAGAAAGAGTACAACGAGGAGGGCACTTGCCTTGAAAGTGGCAGACCCAGCATCCCATACAGACCCCTGGAACCACCAGGAGTAAGCCCTGAGCACTGCTGAGTGTGGCCCAAAAGAAAGAACTGGAAGGAGGGATGCTGCCGTAGCTGAATGTCTTTCCTGATAGGAATGAACCTGGTTCCGGGAGGTTGCTCAGTGGTGAGCGACTTACATTAGACTATGGGTTCAGTCACCAGTGTTGCAAAAAAAAAACAAAAAAAAAACAAAAAAAAACAAAAACCTATAAAATTGATGTGGGGGCGGGAGTGGGGAGGGTGGGAGGGAAACTCGGAACATTGGTGGTGTGGCATGTTGCCTGGTGTTGGAACACTGTATGACTGAAACCCAACCATGAACAACTTTGTAACACAGGCCATCAGGATGGAGTGAGAGGAGGGACTAGAGCTAATTCCTCTCTCTCACAGGGAGGTGCCAGATGATGTCTGAGAGGCGGCGCTGGAGAGTGACGGGAAATAACTGCACATTATTTGTAAGAGTGGCAGCTACTTAGCATATGTTTAGAAAAAAGTTGTGGAAATCTCCTTGCTGGACTGCAGACTTCTGGTTGGGAGCTAGGAGAGGAGAGTTTTGATTTTGCCCTTGGTAGCTCTGGGGATAATAATTAAAAAGGAAAAACCCCAAGGACACTAGAGTTATGTAATCTCGTGGTGTATCACATGAATATGGTGAGTCTTAAATTCCTGAAGCATCACCACACACAGTGGCAGTCTGATCGCTGACGGGGGACGCCGGCAATAAAACGGTTTCAGCGTGAGAGGCCGTCAGCCCGCAGTGATCACCCCTCGTTCAGTGGAGGCGAAGCACAGAATTGAAAGAGCCCCGATATACTTGTCTTTGAGAGAAATGAATTTTCGGAAACCTTTAATGGTTTGGGGTGTTGTTGGACCACATCTAGCAGTGCTCAGGGCTGACTCCTGGCTCCGTGCTCAGGGAACAGTTCTGGCGGTTCTGGGGTCCAGATGTGATGCCAGGCATCAAGCCCAGTTCAGCTCCCTGCAAGGCAAGAGCCTTAAACCCCAGTACTAGCTCTCCAGTCCTGATTATTTTACTTGTTTTTTGAGTCACACCCAGTGGTAGCACTGCACTGCACTGTCCTCCCATTGTTCATCGATTTGTTCAAGCGGGCCCAGTAACATCTCCATTGTGAGACTTGTTGTTACTTGTTTGGCATATCGAATACATCATGGGTAGCTTGTCAGGCTTTGCCGTGCAGGCGAGATACTCTCGGTAGCTTGCCAGGCTCTCCAAGAGGGGCAGAGGAATCAAATCTGGGTCGACCGGGTACTCAGAGATTAATCCTGACTGTGCACTCGGGGATCAGCCCTGGTGGGGCTTAGGGGATCTGCAGTGCCGAGGATCAAACCGAGGTCAGCTGGCTGTATGGAAGGCAAGTGCTTTACCTACCCTACTATCTCTCCAGCAGACTTTTTTTTAAAAATAAGGGCAGTGCTGGGGAAGAGAGTAGGTCTTATTGTCCTAGGGGGTCGCAGGACTGCATTTGATGGGGCTTTGGGGACCCTGGGATGCCAAGGGTCAAACATGGAAT